TCCTGCTGCCTGTGGAACTACTTTCCTCAAAGGACTGCCTGTATCAATAGCAATACTCTTTCTGCTTTTAAGCTACTTGCATATTTTTGCCCTGTGGTTTATCTCTTAAATTATGTTTAGCAATAAGTAGGAAGTTGTCATTTATGTTTTACAGTACTGGCCAGTTTCCAGCCCGCAAGCCAGCCATCTGGTATCACAAGAGGTAAGACCCTGATTTACTCCTTCCTCAGGAATAGAACATCCACATGTATGGCCACTTGCTATGTCCATTTACCACTGCATATTAATGCAGTGCATTCCTATCTGGACTCTGTGGTCCAAACCAGCAAATTTCTTTTAATAACTAGGCTTTACTCATTTGATACTTTCTGGAATACCATTAATCTCTTGCCACACAGAACTATGAACAATAAATTCCCTGTAAATGGGCATCCAGGAAAGAGAAGATAAATTAATTGCACATGTAAAGTTAAGACCTTGTTGGATCCCTCTGGATTCGTTTTATTGAGAAGTTATCCTAATTTGCTACAGCTTCATCTTAAGGAATCACTGAACTGAAGGACGCAGAATAACTGGAGAAGCTAAAGCTTCTTTTTTGAATTCACAGCACAGAGCATACAGCTAGAGCACTGGCAACTGACAACTCTGCTTCTGCTTACTCCACACCTCTTGTCTTATGTTGCTCCATCTCTTTAGTCAATGCAAAATATATGATCTAAAGTATTCCAGAAAAAGAAAACATAAAAAGTCTTCTATAATATTAGCAAGCTGACTTCTGTTGGTATCTCTGCTACTTACTTAGTACAGGCTTTTAATGAGCCGATCAAGCCACATTTTCCTGTAGCCTATTAAAAGATTACTAGGTCTAACAAACAATTCAAATAAACTGAATAAAAGAGAAAGAAAATTAAAAAAAGAATAAATAACCTGTACTGTCTTTAGGATCTAAATGTATTAAAGGATATCCTTGGTGAAGAGCAGATCAAATAGAGAAGGAGACCATAAGAGTAGATAAGGCAGAACTGTATTGAGTCAGTTACAACAGCATTGCTTCCATCAATCAGGACTCTAGTATTTCTCTCCCATTCAGTCCCCTGCCGTGCTGCATTCAATAAACCGCAGCCATGTCTACGGACGCTGAGATGGCCGTCTTTGGGGAGGCAGCTCCCTACCTCCGGAAGTCTGAAAAGGAAAGAATTGAGGCCCAGAACAAGCCTTTTGATGCCAAGACGTCAGTCTTTGTGGTGCATCCTAAGGAATCCTATGTGAAAAGCACAATCCAGAGCAAAGAGGGAGGAAAGGTCACAGTCAAGACTGAAGGTGGAGAGGTGGGTGACAAACAAGACTTAACAACATTTGATTCACAGCATTTAATGGACACCCTTAGCCAACACACATCCATCTCCCTTTTTTTTTTTTGGCAGACTCTAACAGTAAAGGAAGATCAGATCTTCTCCATGAACCCTCCCAAGTACGACAAAATCGAGGACATGGCCATGATGACCCACCTCCACGAACCCGCTGTGCTGTATAACCTCAAAGAGCGTTATGCAGCCTGGATGATCTACGTAAGTAGCAGCCACAGGCTTCCCGCAACCCGCGAGGGAGAGCACCCCTCCCCACATCTTCTCCATCTCTGACAACGCCTATCAGTTCATGCTAACTGGTGAGTGGTTGGTAACCTTCACAGCAATCACAACACAAAAGTCTCAGACTCTTCTTACGGGGAAATGCAGCAAAGTACTGAAGAACACCACAGTGTTGTATGAAGCCAAAATGCACCTGAAAGACACTGGGACTCAGCACTGCATATTATGTCCTGTACCAAATTCTACACTGCCCCACTGAAGGAATAGTGCTCGAGTCATGCAGCTAACTACCTTTTTGCACTGCTGGGACAGAGTTATCATTCCATTTAACCCTATATTTTGCAGATGAATAGACTGTTCAGATAGAAAAGAAGCATGTAAAGGGCAAAGTTGGTCTAAGGACTGTGTATATCCATAGTTCTGTGCATAGTTCTCACCTTATGGTTTATTACTGCTAGAGACTTTAAGGGTGCAGCTGGAATTGGGCACTCTCCTCCGCGAGTTGGTGCTTAAACTCTTAAACTTTCTGAATAAACCACAACTTTATTTTCAGTTTTCTGACAGCATCTTTTTTTCTGTCTCTTTCACAGATCGCGAGAATCAGTCAATCCTGATCACGTACGTACATTCCCTGCTCCAATTCCCAAGGGGTGGCTCTGTGCCTGGGGACCTGCTGCCTGACCAGACGTTCTCTGCTTCTCTCTTTTGCTTCCCAGCGGAGAATCCGGGGCAGGGAAGACTGTGAACACCAAGCGTGTCATCCAGTACTTTGCAACAATTGCAGCTAGTGGGGACAAGAAGAAAGAGGACCAGCCACAACAGGCGGGCAAAATGCAGGTGAGTTCGTAGGGAGAGCACCCTCCAGCTGCCAGGTTCATTTATGAGCTATGTGATGACAATATGATTTCTGTCTTAGGGGACGCTTGAGGATCAAATCATCAGCGCCAACCCTCTGCTGGAGGCCTTTGGAAATGCCAAGACCGTGAGGAATGACAACTCCTCACGCTTTGTAAGTTGTTGCCCAGATCAAAATAACTTTTTTTCTTACGAGTGCAATGACTGTAATATTTTATACTCAGAATCGGTAAAACACATCTAGATTGATTTTTTTTTTTCTTCCTTAAAGGGTAAATTCATCAGAATCCATTTTGGTGCCACAGGAAAACTGGCTTCTGCTGACATTGAAACATGTAAGAGACACTCAGAGCCTGATAACAATCCTTCCTACCTTCCTCAGTTCCTATTCTAACTCTGTTCTACCTTCATTGCCAGACCTGCTGGAGAAGTCAAGAGTCACTTTCCAGCTCAAAGCAGAAAGAAGCTACCACATATTTTACCAGATCATGTCCAACAAGAAGCCAGAGCTAATTGGTAGGAGAAATCACTTATCTGGGGGAAGTTCATTGAGCAACACTTAATTCCATTATATGCCAATCAGTTTTGATCTGTGTGTTTTTTGTACTCGTTTTCAGAGATGTTACTGATCACCACCAATCCATATGACTATCATTATGTGAGTCAAGGTGAAATCACAGTTCCCAGCATAAATGACCAGGAAGAGCTGATGGCCACAGACGTAAGTAATGTGTAGAAAATTTATTAGTCAGATTCCAACTTTTATTAGTCATGGTACTTACACTAGTGACTCTCTTATTAGAGTGCCATTGACATCCTGGGCTTCACTGCCGATGAAAAAACAGCCATTTACAAGCTGACAGGAGCTGTCATGCATTATGGAAACCTGAAGTTTAAGCAGAAGCAACGTGAAGAGCAGGCGGAACCAGATGGCACAGAAGGTATTATCATAATATACTTGCCTTTCTAGTTGTTTTAAAAGAAAAGTAATGCCAGACAGTGCCTTAAAAACAAATTTATTTTGGCATTTAGTTGCTGACAAGGCTGCCTACCTCATGGGTCTGAATTCAGCTGATCTGCTCAAAGCCCTGTGCTATCCCCGCGTCAAGGTTGGGAATGAATTTGTGACCAAAGGTCAAACAGTGCAGCAGGTAACAATGAATATCTGACAAGCTGTGCCTTGAGCTACATCACCTGGACTTGCTCTTTTTCTCTGAATGATAACTGCAAGCCTTTTGTCCTCCATTTAGGTATACAATTCAGTAGGTGCCCTGGCAAAGGCTGTCTTTGAGAAGATGTTCTTGTGGATGGTTGTTCGCATCAACCAACAGCTGGACACTAAGCAACCAAGACAGTACTTCATTGGTGTGCTGGACATTGCTGGCTTTGAGATCTTTGATGTAAGAGGAATGTTTTCTTAACATAATTTTGAAAGTAACTTAATGGAGTGGTGAAAGATTTAACAAGTAATGATACCTTTTTGGCAGAAGTGAATTTAATGCTTTCAGTGTTAAAGCTGAAGCATCACAGTCTTTTCATTGAGAACAGACTTATGTTGCACATATGTTAATGGAAATGCATATTTCCACAGTCAAAATTTTTACTGAGAAGGCTTTGGACCTCAAGTTCTAGGGCTCAAAAGCATGTTGATAAAGCTTACATTGCCAGTAGAGATGAGCTGATAGAAATTCTAAACTTCTGGATGAACAGAGGACTCAAGATATCTTCCCATGATTTGCTAGACAGAAAAAAAGAAAAGAAAGAATTGTTCTTTATCCCTAGATTTCTAATATCAATCTCTATTTGTAATTTTACAGTTCAACAGCCTGGAGCAGCTCTGCATCAATTTCACAAATGAGAAACTGCAACAGTTTTTCAACCACCACATGTTCGTGCTGGAGCAGGAGGAATACAAGAAGGAAGGCATTGAATGGGAGTTCATTGACTTTGGGATGGATCTGGCTGCCTGCATTGAGCTCATTGAGAAGGTATGACTCTAAACATCTATTATTTTCAAGAATTCATTACTTTTATATATGCATAAGTCAAAAGTGTATACAGGATATTATTGGAGTATTGTTTTAGATTCTTTTATAATTTGCTTTGCTGATCATATTAGTTTTATAAGAATTTGTTTTGAAAGACTTAGAGCTTTCATAATGTCCAACTCAGAAATCTGTTCTTTATTTGTGATTCTGTCCGTCTTTTCACAACTCCTTCATTCTTTCTTCTCTTCTATATGCTGCTATTTCTCCAGCCCATGGGCATCTTCTCCATCCTGGAAGAGGAGTGCATGTTCCCCAAGGCAACTGACACCTCTTTCAAGAATAAGCTCTATGACCAGCACCTGGGCAAGTCCAACAACTTCCAGAAGCCCAAGCCTGCCAAAGGCAAGGCTGAGGCCCACTTCTCCCTGGTGCACTATGCTGGCACAGTGGACTACAACATCTCGGGCTGGCTTGACAAGAACAAGGACCCCCTGAATGAAACTGTTGTGGGGCTGTACCAGAAGTCATCTCTGAAGACACTGGCCCTACTCTTTGCCTCTGCTGCAGGAGAGGCAGGTCAGTTCTCTAAAGTTCTTATTTCCTTTTTTTTAAAAAACTCTTGAGAGCCATGAATATCAGCTAGAGTATGTTTCTCAACATGTTCTTAAGAATCTGCATACTGTGAAGACTCTACAACAGTGTGAATTTATTTAAAAAAGAAAAGATCAAATGTATCTCAGACTTCCAGTGAGTCATGACAACCCCTAGGCCTCCGGTTCAGCGCATAGCTTTGGACCTCTATTCCTAGAGAACAAGTTTCTCTCTTCATTTAGAATGAATGTTGACTCTGTATCCCAACGCATTCTAGGTTCTTTGCTTAGCATGACTAATATTTATGCTTCTTACAGTCTCACAGAGAAAAAGTGTGCAACTCAAAGTTATAATATTATCTATTTTTGGTATTCTTCAGAGAGTGGCGGTGGAAAGAAGGGAGGCAAGAAGAAGGGTTCTTCTTTCCAAACTGTCTCAGCTCTTTTCAGGGTAAGTTCATTATCCCTCTGTATTCTGTATCAGAAACATATTTTCTGTTATTATTTAAAGGAATAACTCCAAGTCAGCTGAAGCCAATGAGAAGATACTTGGTGACTTAATCTTTCTTTGAAGTTTGAAAAAAGTACTTGAGTCAAACACCAGTTTCACCTGCTCACAAGTACAATTGGAGAATTAAGCTCTTTCCCGATTTGCCCCTCCCATAGGACAGTGGCAGGTATGGCTGCCTGCCTGAGGGAATATCTAGTCTGGATCTGCATAAAATTTTGATTTGGAAAGACAAACTTTCCAAACTTTCTTTCATGCTCATCTGGTAATGTAGCTACAGAGGTAATATTTGGTAAGAAAAAACTTTGTCTGTGATGCCACAGGAGAATCTAAACAAGCTCATGACCAATCTACGGAGCACTCATCCTCATTTTGTGCGCTGTATCATCCCCAATGAAACAAAAACACCCGGTAAGAAGACGAAGTAGAGGAAAATCTTACTGTGATGCAGTCATTGTTCTTTGTACTTCATAATAAAGTATCCAATAACTGTATCATTCTTTTAGGTGCCATGGAGCACGAATTGGTGCTTCACCAGCTACGCTGTAATGGTGTGCTGGAAGGGATCCGAATCTGCAGGAAGGGATTCCCCAGCAGAATCCTCTATGCAGACTTTAAGCAGCGGTAAGAGCCCTTTTTGCTCTCAATTCTGTCTTAACAAATCTTGCCTATTTTAACATGTGTGGTTATTTTATATAAAAATATAATAATTAATTCTGTAATACCATAATTAAAACTAAAAGAAGGCCCAAATTGCTCAAATGCATAACAAAAGGCAGCATCTCTGTCTGGCAAAGGAAAAATAGTTGAAAAATGTAAAGATAAGTGAAGCCCATTCAGGAGACAGACTGAGATATGACTATAAAAATTCTCATACACAAATTACACACTCAGATAGAATGTTCTCTACCTGCTGCTAGAGTCAGTGGAAGATCATTTCTTGCTATACATACAGTGCCAATGTTCCTGCCCAGCAATTCTCTGTTCAAGAATGAAAGCACATGTAAAGACAAAAAAAACGTAATGAAATGCATGGATATCAGTATCATCCTTTCATCTAAGATTTTTCAGCTAAACACAGTGAAAAAAATCCTTAATTTTGTCATTAAAATGCATTTTACTATGAATATCATCTCTAAGCAGGGGATGGAAGTCTTCATTATGCTCCAAAGCATGCTGTTAATTTCACTAGCTAGTAGAACTTCCGACTTTAGACTTAGTCAGTCTGTGTTAATTCACTTCCTCTCTTTGCACAGGTACAAGGTGCTCAATGCAAGTGCTATCCCAGAGGGACAGTTCATTGACAGCAAGAAGGCTTCTGAGAAGCTCCTTGGCTCCATTGATGTGGACCACACCCAGTACAAATTTGGTCACACCAAGGTACAAACACTCCTTGACTCCCATCCTGTGTGGCCATGTTTTGTGCCACCTGCCAGTGACAAGCTGCAATATTCCCCTTCTCAAGGTGTTCTTCAAAGCTGGGCTGCTGGGGCTCCTGGAGGAGATGAGAGATGAGAAGCTGGCACAGCTCATCACTCGCACACAAGCCAGGTGCAGGGGCTTCCTCATGAGAGTGGAATACCAGAGAATGGTGGAGAGGAGGTACACATTTATCAAATGCAAATAATCACGGTACTTTGGAGAAAGTGTCTACACCATTCACATGCAAATTATTCAATGTACATTTAACTCTGCTTCAGGGAGTCCATCTTCTGCATCCAGTACAACGTCCGCTCCTTCATGAATGTCAAGCATTGGGCTTGGATGAAGCTGTTCTTCAAGATCAAGCCTTTGCTGAAGAGCGCAGAATCAGAGAAGGAAATGGCCAATATGAAGGAAGAGTTTGAGAAAACCAAGGAAGAGCTTGCAAAGTCTGAAGCAAAGAGGAAGGAGCTGGAGGAGAAAATGGTGTCCCTCCTGCAGGAGAAAAATGACCTGCAGCTCCAAGTGCAGTCTGTGAGTATCTTTAGTATATTTTTTTCCAGGTGAAACTAAGTAACATCTAACTCCTCTTTCCTGGAGAATAATTCTCAAACTGTACCCTAATCTACCTTACAAAATATCTAACCTGAATCTTATATGCTAAAGGTAAAATTCAGCTGATCTGATTTGAACATTCTGTGTCACCTTTGCAAAGTAGCCATTCTCTAGCTTGAGAATGACTTTTAAGTACTCTATATGCTTTATATTTTAAGTCTATATTTAAGCTTATAGCATAAGGTCACATTATACCACTGGACATATAGTATACACATGAAAATGTATATGGAGAGTTATTCAGTGGACTATCCACACTCTTTACCTAAGTAAAAGTCACTAGATCCATTTCTTAAGATACACGATATCTTACTTGTCCTCGAGCAGCCTCTATTCCAGGAAGACACAGACACCCAACACGCTCTGAGACAAAACTGCTGGCCCCCAGTGTGCTTTCGTATCTCAAAAGCTATGCAACATTCAGGCAATACTTTCAGGCTTCTAGGTGTAACCCACTCTGTTAATGTACTCACATAACTGGAATAAAATATATTAAACAAAAGATTAATTTTTGTTTAGTCTTATCAGGATATATAGGAATCTACATAGTTCTGTACATATATATATGCCCATTATATTCATTTATTCTCTTTCAGGGAAATGGGAAAAAAAACTTAAAAAATAATTATTTATTTCTAGCTATATGACCTATATGAGCCAGACACTATCTATATATATTTCCAATAATAACTGTCCCAAAAATAATTAAAAGATTTTTTTTTTCAGCATTAAATACTCTTTTATATTAAATGACTGTGAAAGTGAAAAGTTAGCCAACAAACCTGTTTTTACCCAACAGGAAGCTGATGCTTTAGCTGATGCTGAGGAAAGATGTGACCAGCTGATCAAAACCAAAATCCAACTTGAGGCCAAAATCAAGGAAGTGACAGAAAGGGCCGAGGATGAGGAAGAAATCAATGCTGAGCTGACAGCCAAGAAGAGGAAACTGGAGGATGAATGCTCAGAGCTGAAGAAAGATATTGATGACTTGGAGCTAACGCTGGCCAAAGTTGAGAAGGAAAAGCATGCCACTGAGAACAAGGTACCACCAAGAATTTGTCACTCATACTCCAGAAGTCAATGCTTTGCTGGTACATCACATTTGTAGGTACTTCCTTTAATTACCACTTGCCTCCATCCCCGCACAGGTCAAAAACCTCACTGAAGAGATGGCAGTCCTGGATGAGAACATTGCCAAGCTGACAAAAGAGAAGAAAGCCCTCCAAGAGGCCCACCAGCAGACACTGGATGACCTGCAGGCAGAAGAGGACAAAGTCAATACGCTGACCAAGGCTAAAACCAAGCTGGAACAGCAAGTGGATGATGTAAGTACATATTCAGGAAGCACAAGACAGATATTTAGATGGGCTTTGCTGGCAGAGCACTCATGATTACCTTCTGTTTAGCTTGAGGGGTCCCTGG